AGGGACTAACTGTTATTTTTCACTACATGTCACTTCTAGACAAATGGATAGACAAAAGTAGTTAATAGGACTCTAGAAGCCTTATTAAAGGTGATAGTTGGAAAAAATTTAAAAATATGGAAAAAATGTTTACCTTTATTGGAGTTTGCTTATAACAGGACTATTCACTCTTCCACTGGCTTATCTCCTTTTGAGATTGTATATGCGTTTAACCCACTAATCCCACTTAACTTTACTCATTTACCTTTGCAGGAACTTGCTAATCTAGATGGACAATAAAGAGTAGAGTTAGTTAAAACTATACACAAAAAGGTACAGGAACACTTGGAAAAAAAGAACAAATCATATGCCCGCAAAGCCAATAAGACTTTAATTTTAATTGATTTCATATGTAATTGCACCTAGTTAGGAATTTAAACTTTCATTTTGATTAATTTCTTATGTAATTGTAATTTTAATTAGGATATTTTTATTACCTTTTTATTCACATGGTTTACCCTATAAATAGGTCATCAAGTCTTCATTATAAGCATTTAAGATTAAAACCAATACTATTGTGAGTTTTATTTAAGAGATGTGTCTTCATTTCTCTTATTGAGTAATGAGTTGATCTACTTATCAAGGTAATTTCTTGTGGTGTTTTTTCATTCTTATTTTAATTCTCCGTTTTTCAGTTATTTTAGTTCCTATCATTCTTGATAGAGGGTTAAATAGGGAAAGTTTTCATATGATCAAATTCCTTTGGTGTCTTGAATGAAATTGTGTGAGTTCCTGATCATGTTGGTTGATTTTAGATTCTGCATTAAAAGTATTTATAAAACAAAAAACAACGTTATTCAATGTAAGCACACATAAGGTATCTCTCCTAAATATTTCTTTGCATAAGAATATATCAACTTTTGTCTCCCTTTTTCATTATCGGCCCAAAAGGTGTAGATAATATTTTTATGGTTCATGTAAGGACTTTAAATAATATCATTTGGTATATCTGAATCCATCAATTTTCTCACACAACCCCTTATTAATATTTACAATAAAGCATAAGGGATCATGTGGAAAAAGACAATAAATGAGCCAAAGCTTTATGCTCCCGTTAATTTATGCATGAAAATTCAGTAAGGTGGAATGAGAATGCACTCCCTTTTGCTTAGTTCAAGTAGTTTATTATGAACCAAAGCTTTATATTTCCCTTTACTAGTTGCTCATATTATTGATTAACATTTTTAAGTTGATTCTAGGTGTTTTGCTACTCCTTCATGATTTCATAGCCCATAACATGACTCACATATGTATAACTCAATCTCAGTGAATTGATAGAGAAAGTAGTCTCATTATCCTTCTTCATGATTTCTAGTGCTAAAAGTCACTAAGAAATCCTATGCATGTTATTTATTAGTTAGGTCTCTTGATCTTAAAGAAAAGTATTAGTGTTTGTTAATTAGGATCATTACCCACATTCTCCTATCTTCTTCTGAGGACTTAGTTTTTAGGTTATTTCTCAATCTCCTTATTATAGTTTCTCTTTTAAGTTTCATATATTATTTTTTATTTATTACTGTATAGGAGTTTTTATTTTAACAGGTTAATGTTTGTAGTCTTTCAAGTCCTAACTAATTCATAGTCCTATTGCTTTGTCTTCTTTATAGTTTTTTTATGACATACTTAACTACTCCTAGTTTGTATACCTAATTTCTGTACTAAGTTTGAAATTTCAAAAGTGATTGTTTCTATACGAATTTTGACTTTATAGTTATGTCCATGAAGTAGAGATAAATGGTAAATTACAAAATATTTTAAATAAAAAAATGTTTAAGATGTTTTTATTACAAAACATTTTATACCATCATGAGTCATTGCTCATCTAAGATTACATACTTTAATTAAACTAAATATTCTAAAAGGTTGACCCCAGACAATGTTATTATCTTTTGTCGACTTCAATAATTATCTAATCTTGATCTAAAATTTCTTTAAGAAGAAATTGATTATCTTATTAGGAGGACAACTGAGTAAATATTTTGTTTTAGGTGGAGAGAATTTCAACATACTAACTTTACTTAATGTATTCAAGTCATTAAAGGCCAAGTTACTTAGGAGATTCAAGATTGCTTCTTTCACAAAAATTTTTAAGCTTACTACAACTTCACTATTCCTCATACCAAAGACTAACAAGATAAGAGATCAAATTTGTCATTTGTTTCTCTCATTTAGTTAAGGATAATGAATAGTAGACAAACAAGTTTTCGCTTAATCATGGACCTCATTACAAATTCATCCATGAGCGTCAAATGATTGATTTCATCTAACTATGTTTTTTAGGAGTATAACACAGAACTAATTATCACTTATCAGAGTATTTGAGCAATAAATACTGTATATTTATCAAAATGCAATATACTTTTTCTATTCTAAAAAACACAATAAAAGAGACAAAAAGTCTTGTCATAGTCCCATTTGTGTTATCATTACTATTATTACTGATATTATTGATATTATTACATTATCCAAAAGAGAAAAGAAGATAAAAACAGAGAAAATAATAAATAAAAAAATAAAAAGAGAAAAGGTCAGCTTTTAAAATTTAAGCCCAAACCCAAAGAAAAAGAACCGAAACCCAGTCCAACTCCAAACCAACCCAAAGCTAACCGAAGCTCCAGCCCAAGGCTGAAATGCATTCCTCTCTCATTCCCAGAGGCTGAAAAAAAAAAAAAAAAAAAAGAGGGGTATAGGGTTCCTGTTCAGAGAATAGGAAGAGCGATAGAGAAGAGAAGCAACGACCTTTGGCGCGACGCTCTTGCGGAGCTGAACTGAGGAGCGGCAGAGCGGTGGTAAAATCTTTTCTACTTTGCATTTTCTGATTTTTTGTAAACTGTTTTCGATGATTATGAGCTCGGACTTCGATTATGTCAGTTCTACTTAGAACATTTGATTTATTTGATAAACTGTTGCTACAATATGGGATGAAAGTTTTGCTGAGAACAGCATTCGCTTTAATTTATTACTAGCAGTTGATGAGTCATAAAATGGAAAACTAAATAAAGCCATAGCATGTGACGTCCGAAATCTCTTGTATAATGACACTGAGTTTGTTTTCATTCTGGTTCCAGCATATCTCTATATGTGGGGTTGCATACTTGATGTTGGTTGCGTGAAAGTCAGTCTGGAAATGTGCTGGGATAATATTTGGACCGGTAGACATCCATGTTGACCTTTTGAAAAAAATTCCTTCTGCTTGTTCCCAGACATTGCAATAGCTGCCCGCTTTTCTTTCTTAGCATGTCAACTGATTCCCTCTAAGCAAAATGTGGTTAATATGGTGTCTGGTTCATTTTCTTTCCACGGCTACAACTTCAGAGTTTGGCTTTCTTGTTTGCTGACTGTAACCATGCTGTGGACTTGGAACTGATAATTTACAGTGTGTCAAAAAGGTCTCTCAGTCTTTTCCACGGTGCCTTTGTTTCCTTCTCGTTGAGCTCCCTCAAGCTCTTAAATACCAATGCAAAAAGGAACCAAATGATTGTCAGTTTCCTCTTGATTCCTTCACAGATGTTGTCCTCAAAAAATTAAAAAATCTTTTGAATTTACTATATGATTGAACCAAGCATCCTACTTTTATCAATATTTGCACATTTTTTCATGCCTCCCATTGAATTTTCAGGTAAAATAAAAGATGGTTAAGCACAACAATGTTATTCCCAATGGACACTTTAAGAAGCATTGGCAAAACTATGTGAAAACATGGTTCAACCAGCCTGCTAGGAAAACCAGGAGAAGAATTGGTGAGTGGTTTTCTGATTTTTAGGCGTTTAAGTTCTGTTTGTGTTGTCTCTGTACGTATGAATGGTATTTGTGACCTTTGCAAAAATTTTCTTCTGTGTTCGTTACTCTGGCTTATTTTTATTATTTCAAATACTTTCCAGCAAGACAAGAGAAGGCCGTGAAAATTTTCCCTCGCCCAACTGCTGGTCCACTACGTCCCATTGCCCATGGCCAGACTTTGAAGTACAACATGAAAGTGAGAGCTGGGAGGGGTTTTACTCTTGAGGAGCTCAAGGTGGGTTGTCCTTTTAGTTCTTTTGGTTTGATGTTTACTTTGCCTTCCATTATTTTTTGAATTTTATGTTCTTCGTTTGGGAGTTATCATGTGTTCTCGTGACAATGTTTCTTGGCTTGATGTGGCTATGAGGTGTTCAGTCTGGGGATCCTTTTTGTAATGGACATTGAATATTATACATAACATTCTAAGTTTAGGATTTTTTAGTTTTCATGAAGTTACATGTTACTCTAATCTTCGGAAGATTAGAAATGTGGATGTCCTCTAAGAATTTTACCTCTTGGGTATATAGGTGTACTAGTTATGGAATTTGATGTGGGAGAAGTCGTCACGTTTTTCTATTTTGTTTTGGTCCTTCGCCGTGATAAAAAAAGAATGGATAAGTGGCTCATGGGATTGACATGAGGGGATAGGGATGACTATATTTTTTGGAGCGAACTCCAGGTGAATATGAAGCACATGGATACAAGTTATGCCTTGTAATTAAAGACAATTTCAAATAAGCTTTTTCTTCGAACAAGGAAGCTATAGGTAATGCAACTATGAATCTTATGGAGAGTTCGATCTTGACTCAAGATTAACATAGTGACATGCTTAATACATGCAAGTCGGATGGGAAATGGTGATTTCCAATGATGGACAGGTGAGTAACACGCAAGAACCTACACTTAGGAGAGGAACAATAGCTAAAAACGACTACTAATACCCTATATGTTGAGGAGTAAAATGAGAAATCCACTTGGGGAGCTCGTGTCTTATTAGCTAGTTGGTAAGGCAATAGCTTACTAAGGTGATGATCAGTAGTTAGTCTTATAGGCAACAGTGGGGAATTCTCCGCAATGAGTAAAGGCCTGACGAAGCAATACCGCGCTGAGGTAGAAGAATCCACAACCCGTGAACCTTCTTTCACGAAGAAGAAGCAATGATTGTATATGGGAAATATGCATTGGCTGACTATGTGCTAGTAGCTGCGGTATTTCAGATTATGTAAGCGTTATTCAGAATGATTGGGTGTAAAACTTTTGTAGGTGGGTTTTTAGGTCTACCTCAATCCCAAGGCTCATCCTTGGGCAGGTGATAGAAACTACCAAGCTATAGTACAGTGAGGCAGAGGGAATTTTCGATGGAGTGGTGAAATGCGTATAGATCGAGAAAAACACCAACGAGAAAGTTCTCTGCTGGTGGACATTGACAATAAGAGACAAAAGGTAGGGGAGCAAATGGGATTAGATACAAAATCCACGGTCAATCCTAGGGCTCAACCCTAGGTAGGCGATGGAAGCTACCAAGCTGGAGTATGATGGGGCAAAGGGAATTTTTAGTGGAGCGGTGAAATGCATACAAATTAAGAAGAACACCAGTGGTGAAAGCACTCTGCTAAGTAGACACTAGGAGATGAAAAGCTTGGGGAGCAAATGGGATAAGATGCAAAGCATTATCAAGAGTCTCTTTCCTACACTTGCTTTTGCTAGGGCAAATTTGATGAGTTATATCAGCAAAACAGAATAAAGGATTTCGAGTCTTTTGCTAGGGCAAGTTGAACTGGGGAAAAAGGATTTGCAGTCCCCTGTCTTACCACTGCGATCATATTGCAAAAACAATACAAACTAGATGAAAATCTTCCCCCTCTTTTGAGAAAGAAAATGTGGATTTTCAGTCACAAAAGCAAAAATTCAGGACAAATTAGAACCACTAACTCTTGACTGGAAATTCATGACCGTTTTTGTATTTGCACTTCAAATTTTATTTACCTAATGATATAAGAAAATCCAAAATGGATATATAACATAATTAATCAGCATTCATTTTTTTTCTTTTAATTTTCAATTAAAAAATCCTTCTAAATTCGATTACAACAGCAAATTTCAGTATATGTAAACCCTGGAGCATAAGTTGGTATATAACTATAGGTACCTAATAGGGTATTTTATCTGTATAGTATACAATAGGGAATTGCCCATTCATTGTCTTCATTTTTGCATTGAATACATTGAAACAGACTGAAGAGAAAATAGGAATTTTTAGTAGAGTACAGCATATGCTGGCCCGAATAGAACCGTAATGCAATAAAGGAAGAAGGAAAGATGTAAATATCTGCATATTTTAGTAAATAAAAGAAATACAAGCTTTCTTATGCAGTTCAATGATACTTTAATTCTACTAAAAAAAGGTAAAAATATATCTTTTCTCTGTGAATCATTTTTCAAACAGTGGAATACACAAAAAAGTGAAGTGTTAGAAAAATCAACTTTCTATTTATTATTTCTGATTATTATGTCTTTATCTTCACAAACAGATCAAATTATAAGTACATTTATTTTTCTCGTATTCAATTGGAGAGTATGTAATATCATAATAATGATAGAAATTGAATAACTTTTTTTGTTCTGATATTTTATTAAAAACCCAAGAGTCTAAGTGACATTTATTAAGTCGTTTCCATTTCTATGTGTCTGATAAATTGCAATTTGAGTGTAATTTTTATTTCTCTGCAATTTGAGTATAATTTTTATTTCTCCGTTCTTACGAATTTCATACACTACATATATATGTATAGTTGGGTAAAAAACTTTCACGTGTTTCAGTAAATGGAATAGAAATTCCATTCTTACTTATGATTCCATAAAGAATAATGAGACTTTCTCGATAAATGGGGGAAATTAAAAAAAAAATAACCTTGGGGATGGAAATGAGAGAATGTCTACAATACCTAGGTTGAGTCAGATACAATTTGAAGGATTTTGTAGGTTGATTGATTAGGGCTTAATGGAAAATTTTATAAGTTTCTAAAAATTGAAGATATATATAAAAAAATTGAATTTCCATGACATATTACCGTAGTCTTATATGCACCCATTCAGTTTTTTAGCAGTTAAAATTTTTATTTACTTTCCAGGCTGCAGGTATTCCAAAGAAGTTGGCACCTACTATTGGTATCTCAGTTGATCATCGCGTAGACCGTCTCTGGAGGTCTTCAGCCAATGTTCAGAGGCTGAAAACTACAAGGCCAAATTGGTTGTCTTCCCAAGACGAGCACTCAAATTCAAGGTAATTCAAGTTATTGAAGTATGTTTTGTAAGCTTGGTTGTTCATATGAAAGCTGAATATTGTACTTTGGCTCCTCTCTCTGCTGTAGGCTGGTGATTCTGCACCTAAGGAACTAGCAACAGCTACTCAAGTTCAGGGACAATACATGCCTATTGTGCGCGAGAAAGCTGGAGTGGAGCTTGTTAAGGTTACAGAGGAGATGAAGTCTTTCAAGGCATATGACAAGCTCCGCATTGAGCGCGTGAATCAACGCCATGTCGGTATTAGGATGAAGAGGGCTGCCGAGGCTGAGAAGGAAGAGAAAAAGTAATTAGTTTGATTAAATATTGGGTACCATTGAGTTTTGATGTTAGACAGCAAGTTGTTAGTCATTCTGTTGAATTTTTGAATTGGAAGATATATTGAATACATCATGTGTCGGATGTTCAAGAAGAACTTGGATGTTACATACAATCGGCTTTTCCCATATGTATTTGCCTGTTTAAGTTTGGACATTTGGTTCAGCTTCATTGAATTGCTTGCGCATTATAACTGGCACCAGATGGCTTCATATTGGGATGTGCAAAGGATTAAATGAAAAACCAGGAGTTAGTTTGATGATTAAAGTACATTTTTGGTCGCCTAAAATGGTGTATGCAGTTTGTTCTTGTAATGGAGAGCTCTTGTCATGTATTCGGCAGAGAAACCAGGCAAGATGCCTATATATATATATGGCAAAAGGCAAAATCTCGTTTCTGAAGAGTTGGGTACGACCATCCCAAAGATTCCTTCACCAACATATATGGATGTATGCAATGCATTATTGTCATGATAATTCTCCCAGACAAAGATTAGTTTAGCGGTAATGATATTTTAAGGCAATATTTTTACACAGATTAAGTCTCTTTTTAGGTGATCTTTGGCGCATTCTATTCTCGCCATTAAATCTCTCTCCAAAGTTGGTATAACTTACCAAATATTTTTATGATAATCTGGTTTAATCAGACTTGTTGAAAGGACAAATTTCATGACTTACGGTTTTGAATTGTGTGTTCATGTTTACCCAGGCATGTAAATTTTAATGGATGTGTTTTCAACTTCTATAAAACGGATCAAAAGACTGTCCTAGAGATGCTTGGTAAATGCCTTTGTATAATCTTGCTTCTGTGATATATACTTTGGTGCAATGTGTTTACTTCTGTCGGATTTCCATAAATGTATCTTTAGAATCCTCTTGACCTGGGTTTATAGGCTCATAATACATTACACATGACTTTAATCATCGATAAAATCAGTTTTTTGTCTTATATTTTTTTGTCTTATCGTTTTTTTATCTATATATTATTTTTAAAAAAATAAAAATGTAGAGTCAGCATTAATGTAAGAGCATTAAGAGGACACAACTCATTTACAATATATTTACAAATCGATTAAATTATTAACAATTAAACCAAAATGATCATGATAGCCAATGTTATATCCCAAAATAATCGAATCAAAATAGTGAAACCAACAATAAATGATTTTATTAAAATCAAATTCTATTCCTTAAAAAACGCGATTGTTTCTCTCTTTTTTAAGGACTCACATAATGGTGAGTGAGATTAATCTTAACCTTTTTCTCTTGCTGCTGATGCCTTCCATACTAGGAGTTCTATGTGTATGTTGTTGTTCATGACCCAAGACAACCCCATAAGGGTAAGAATTGTGTTCCATAGGTGCTGTGAGACCGAACAGCCTAAAAGCAAGTGATCGTGAAACTTCTTTTCATTTGGCCTATATTTTATTATTTTAGACAAAATGATATAAAAAGAATTATAGTGCATGGATTGATATGTCTTGGTATCCCATGGACCAGTATCTCTTGGCTGCTACCGAGGTCCTAAGAAAAACTAAGTTTTATCTCTTTTATCGCATGAGAAGTATTAATTCTACTATTAAACTTAAACTTTAGTTCTTGCAGAAAATTTCATGCTTTCTTATCTTCTTGTGTAAGCCTATTTCATACTTCATCTAAAAAACAAAAATTTATTTCATACTCAATATTCAACTAGTAATATGTAATGAGCATTGAGAAAGTTGTTAGCGTAGACAAAATGTTCAATATACTGATATTAGATGCAAATTAATTGTGGATGTATCTCAATACTTTTTATGCATTTATAGGGATTGTAAACTTGGTACAACACATTATTTATAATTTGGTATATTATATGATGAATTGTCGCATGAAGTTTGTTGAATTTTCCAAAATTGCCTCAACCTGGAGCCGGTTTGTGTAAAAACAATTTTCTTCAAATCGTGCAGGTTCTCGTTGAAACCCACATCATCTCGCCCCATTAAAAGTAAGAAATTCTCTTCCATTGCTTTTCCACGGATTTACTAAACTACAAACAAGGATTAGAGAAAGAGCTTTTGTTGAGAAGAAAAAAGAAGTCATCATCTTGTTGAGAAAAAAGAAAAAACATTGCATGGACGATTTTAGCAGGTTACGGGATTTTTTACCATCCCTAGTTGAGAAGACAAGGAACAATATGGAGAAAATAAACATTTAACTAGCAGTAATTCTAGTTCAAAAACTATTATGTGCTCTGCGAGTAGAGATTGATACATTTTAAATTACGTTTTCACAATTTTATTACAAAAATTTAAAATCGATCCTATCCTTTTCTACATATCCAACCATTCCCAGTCCAAACATATTGCTAACAAGAGGTGGACACATGACAAGAATGATCTTAATTTTCCTTTTGTTTAGGCTTCCTATGAAGAAGTGAAAGTTGACAGACATCACCTTCAACTGATATTAATTTACTGCACAGCATATAAGTTTTATTCATGAAGAAACAAGCAAGCATAACAATTAGTTTCCCAGGGCTTAAATCTATCTTTTCTTCTCCACCTACGTTCTGTAACCAATTAAGTATCTTCTCTCTGCCCTAGCTTTAACCCATATCGGAATGAAGACTCAGAATCATTAACCCACTCAACCCAGTGTTGCTTACTGCTAGAACACACATAAAATAAGTGCACAGAAAAGGGACAATCGAGGATTACTTGTTATGTACGTAGATGCTGCATCTTACTTGCCATTGATCCTCTCTATGACTGTGATAAGACCTTGGGTGCCAAGCTTCCCATCTCCATTTGCCACCATTGCAGAGAAGAGCTGCTTGCACAATGCAGCACCAGGTAACACAACCACCCTCTTATCCTCATCCTCCTCTACAACATCAACACCCATGCCCAAATCCTTCACCATATATTCAGTGAACCCACCTGGCCTAAAATCCTTCCCAATCACCCTCTCCCCAAACAACTCCATAGCCATTGACCCAGCAGCCCCACCTCTCACTGCCTCCATAAATTCTCCCACATCCAACCCTGCTTCTCTGCAAACACAAAACCTTCACTCAACCCAAGCAAATTCGCCCCCCCAATAACCTGATTTGCTATCTTGCAACTTTGCCCACAACCCGCCTCACCTATATACGTAACCTTTCCCATGAATTTAAACAACGGCGATAACCACTCCACCACTTCGCATTCACCTCCAGCAAAGATAGCAAGCTTTCCTTCTCTCGCGCCAATGTCGCCTCCAGATACCGGCGCGTCCACAGACCAGCAGCCTTTGGCGCGCGCGGCCGTGAAAATCTCCCGAGCCAGAGAAGGGTGGCTGCTGGTTGTGTCAACGATGACGGCACCGGAATTTAGGCCAGAAAGCAAGCCGTTGGGACCCAGGACAATTTCTCGAACATCTTGTGGGTTACCCAGCATGGTGAAAACAACATCGCACGAACGAGCGAGGTCGTGCGGCGAGGGGACCAGACGGGCTCCCTGGGCTTGAAGAGGGAGGCATCTAGAGGGAGTACGAGCGTAGATGGTGAGAGAGTAGCCGGCGGAAAGGAGGTGAGAAGCCATGGCGGCACCCATAACTCCGACGCCAATCCACCCGATACGGGTACGTGAGGGCGATATAGGTTCTGGGTATGGAGTTTCCATGTAGGATGAAGGAGATGGAGTGACAAGCTAGCAGTAATGGCAATGCTAGTATGCTTCAAAATGTAGCAGAAACTTTTGTTTTGGTTTTACTGCAATACTAGTATAGATTTTGTTTTCATTTTAGTATTTTGTTCAGTGAGAAGTCTGGAAGAAGAGAATTGATAATTTACGGTTTGATCATACGGCTCTATTTTTATTGAGATTTATAAAAAGTAACCCTAAATATACTTGTTTAGTTTTAAATATTTTTAGATATATTACTAAATTAATTTTTAAAATTTAACACTTGTACGATTTGATCTCTAATTTCATTATAGTTTGTTTTTTAATATTTTATAGTTATTTCAAATGTTTAATTTCAAAATTATATTTGCACACTTTAAAAAATAATTCAGGAGAATAATTTTTACTAAATAAATTAATTAATATTTTTAATTTATTAATTTCTTGTTATCGGTGTATTAATTTGATTAATTAATTAAAATTTTTTGTTGAGTTATTGTTCAAAATGTCAAATATGGTCTAATAAGTTTCAGTTTTTTTAATTAATAAATGAAAAAAAAAAATTAAGTATTTAAAACCAATAAGAAAGAAAGCAAAAGAGACAAACATGAGTAAAAAGTGAATCAAAATAAATAAGTAAATAAAATTGGACAACAAATTCGTATAGTAAATGTTGAATAGCTCATGTACTATCAAATAAAAATTCAGAAAATATGTACTTATTTCTCTAACCACCATCTTCTGTTCTATCAAATAATATATTCAATACAAATAAAAACAGTAACTCGATCTCACTTTAAAACATGATCTCTTAAATTTTCATAAAGAAAATGACAATATTTGACACATTTTTTATTTTCTTGATACAAATTTACAACTAACTATTAAAGATAAGTTAAAATCAATTCTGAAGTCTCTCGACCAACTTTTAATCTACTTTCCAATGATTTGACCCCGATGCAAAACAAAAATACCACATGGGCGCACTTAATCATATTGTAGAGAATTATTTTCAATTCAAACATAAAGTATATAACTTAAAAGACTTTGGTATATTTTAATTTGTCAACTAAAAAAATAATGAGACAAGTATCACTACCAATCCATTACCAAACTAGGGGGAAAAAGAAGTGAATTAGTTGGCATGAATAAACGTATTATCCTGATTGAGCTAAAAATGAAAGATTATTGACATATCTTGTTTTTTTCTTGTGTAATTGTAGTATTTCATTAATAAATATTTTTTTTTGCATCAAATAGTCTTTTCTATTTCAATAAAAAAGAGGAGAAAAAAAAAAGCAAAGACAAAAAATTTAAAAATAAAAAAGAAAGAAAAATGAATAAAAATGGAAAAACTAAAGATAGACTTAAGACCCATTAAAGGTAGTTTACACCAGGGAGAATGTAAAAGTCCAGAACTTAAATAAAAATAAATTCATAAATTAAATACAGAAGCGATTCATAGAATCAAAATTTACATTCCTTACACAATAATTTAAAATGTCCAATAGAGTTACAAGAATGTCTCTTCTAAAAGACAAAAGAAAATTAAAGAAATAAAATGAAAAGTGAATAACTAAATATCTTATAACAACCTTCACTAACACTTGAAGGGACTCTGGGTCGTTAACTACTCACAACCCTCTTGTTGATCGATATCTAGATCTTAATCTTTTTTATCTAAAATAATTAATGAAAATGTGAGATACACTAGTTTAGTAAGAATATCACACTAATCACATATACGAAAAATTAAAGATTGGTAAAAACAAAAAAAATAACTAATGGAGCCCTTGCTTTATTTAAATTCATTTAAACTTGAAAACATTTGTTTAATACTTACCATAACGAGTTTTCCAAAGACAACTTCTAAAGACTCATATTCATATACTTTTTATTTTTACATAAAAGAGAACAAGAGATTATAGTTTTCCTTTCTTACCTGGTTAATAATACCCTTGGGGGTCCATAGGAGTGTTTTTCCTACCCGTAAACCCGATATCCAATTTAATTAATTAACCGGTCGTTTTCATACTCCATCTAGTAATGGGCGCCAAACATTCAATCGTCTCGATACTCCGTCCGATATAAAGGTGAACTATATCTCCCAAACCTTTATGGTAAGGGACTTCCCAGCCCCGTCTAACTGGGGTAACATTCACTATAGGGTTCCCTATGTACCGAGTCCATCCGTCCTTTCTCGAGTACCTAGTAAGTCTTGCATATATATATTTCAATCAATAAAACAATCAATCACACAATACCAATATCTCATTGTATATTCATAAATCAATAAAACAATATTTAAACAAGCGATTTAACTTATCATAACCAACAACCAAGTAATCAGATAAGCAGATAAATCATGCAGAAAGGGATTAAATAACCCAGATAATCGAGAAAACTATAAAAACTATCAATGTAAATATACACAATATAATAGTAAACAATTTAGGCAGTATATGAAAATAAACAGGGAATCAGGATAAATATGAATTAACCAGTTCTAGTTCCACTAGTAACCCGTAATTATTTTTAGAATTTTATAATTTTCATAAAAATACAAAATTATATATAGTTAAGTTTCAATTTACCATAATGAAAATAAAATGAGGAATTCTTACTCGGATCGGTATTCCAAGACGTCGAGCTATCTACTACGCCTCTTATTAGGTATCAAATTTCGTGAATTTTTTCTGTTGAATCTAAACACTCGCCACATACCTAAAATACCCCAGAAATCTAAAATCGGTGTCCAAATCTCATTCCGGCCAATTTAAAATTCAAGCATTGCGACGCCACCATGCTCCAACACTGGCTCTGCCACCCACGACGGTAGTTCTCCTCGGTTTGACCGGTTTTAGCTGTGTCCCTGCAAAAAAACATGTTAGCTGCCTCAGTTGGCTGAAAAATCACAAAAAATTGAACCTACCAGCATGAGGAACCCCTGGGTGCGGCGGCTCCGCCGGTTTTCCTTCGCAGTTGAGGTTCTTTCTTCGAGTAATCTACACATAAATGGACAGTAAACACAATAATTAAAAAAATACGTGAAACAGAAATTGGGAAGGGGCTCATCAGAGAAATTTTGGGGTTTTGGACGTGGCGGCTCCGTCAGACTTTACCCACGATTTTTTCGCTCACCTGCCGTCCTTTTTGCTCCAATTTGGCTACATGGGTGCTCGGAATCGAATTTCGAGCAGGTAGAGGGAATTTTTACCTTCTTTAGCAGTTGATGGTGACTCTGGTGCGGTGACAGTTGGCGGTGACTCTGGTGCGGTGGTAATCAGCGGTCGGCCTTCTTCTCCAGCGTCTGGTTCTTCTTCTCCGACGGCCTATTGCTGGCTAAGGTTCCCATGTGATGCAAAGTATTTATACACATCCCGCATTGATTTGGACCGTCCATCGCAATCGATGTCGTCCATCTGATCGCGCCTAAAAAGTAAACGAATAGTCATCCATCGTGATTTGATTTCGACGTCCGATCGCGCTTAAGGGAGGAACAAATCTAGGCTGTTCACGTGCGCGAGATCAATCCTAAGTCATCCGATCGCAGGGCACGCAGATCGCCCGCATAACCTCCTGTGTGGCACCGATGTCAGCGTGCCTTACCACGCGACATGCTCTAGTTCGTCGAGACTGCTGACTAGACGAACCTACGTGACACAATTTTTTTATTTGCACTTTGATCCCTTTATTTTTATTTTTTTTAAAAAAATACCTCCGAACTCAATTTTTTACTTTTTTTTTTCTAAAATTATTTTCGATTACATTCATAACCTATTTTTCAATAAATTCAACAAAATTAAATTAAATTAACTTATAAATACATTTTTATTTATTTTTAAATTATTAAAATTGATTTTGCGTTAAATTCGGGACTCAGATATTATAGAAAAAATATATATCAAAAACTCACTTTAGAATGCTACCCATTTCCATATAAAGTTTATCATAAATGCTCTAGCACCACAAGAAAACATTCAATAACATTACAATTTTAAAATTCTAGGCCAACAACATTTGAAGACCAAAGAACATTAAAAGCCTAAGCAAGGAATTTTTTTTTTTTAAAATGAGAAAATTAAATAAGCCTTCAACACATTTTTTTTTTTTTTTAAAAAGTAACTCATTATATTAAGTTAAATAAGAAGTTGTGAAAAGAGTCTTCACACATTAAAATAAAAATGGAAAAAAAGATTAAAAAATAAATAAATATTTATATTTTTACTATAAATGGCTTACACTTGTCTCATAACTAAATTAATGTAAGAATTTGTTTGTCTCGTTAAAATATTTTTAAGATGAAAAATGGTAGACTTTAGTAAAATTTACAACTATATAATTTTAATATAAATATATTTGTATATTTAACTAATTTTGTTATAAAATTAATAATAATATAAGCTCTATCTCAAAAGTATTTATTTTTAACTTTTGATTTCATATTTTATAAAAAAAGTAATTTTCATTTTTAACTAAAATATTTTTATTTTCAAGCAGTCAACTATACTTGTGTATTTTCACATTACGCCGGTAAAAGCAGAAATAGTGCTAGCGCTAGCATGTGTAATTTAGCTTATGTCTATAAACCCTAATTACCGTTCTGTGCGCGCCGTATATATATATATTTATATATATAACCCTAAGTGTGCGACTCTCCCTCGAACGCCTCAGGAGCGCTCACATCAGGTAATACCTCAGCCTCTCTCTTTCTCCATTTGTGTAGTGTTATCCTCCATTCTTTTACTTATTCTACATTTTAATTTCTAGACGTTTTATTTTAATTGCCTTCTTTACAATCGATTAATCATGCACGATTCTGCTTTTATTTCTCGACTTAAGCTTGTCAATTCTCTTTCTTTGTGTTTTTCTGTCATATGCGCTTATATGCTGCTTGGTTGATCGTTAGCTTTTCCTTTTGACAAATCTGTTTCCAGTAGAGAATGTGTAGGTGATGGTAAAGATGAACAGCAAACGTGTTAAGAGTGAAACAAGTCTATATGAACACGCTGCTTTGGTTTAAAAGGTTCTTTCGTTCTTGATTAAAGTATATTGTTTGCTACCGAATGATTGTTTATGGCAATTTTTTGGTTCTTTCATTTATCTGGTTTTTAAAATTCTGTCTTATCTCCCGTACCGAGATTCTCCGATCTGCTTATAACTATTTTGTCATTTATTCGTTCTTCTTCTCATTAATTCATTGATTGATTTTTATTTTTTCAACGCAAAGATTTTCTTGTCTAGATCTGTAGATATATGCGGGTACGTTTATTAGCTTTGATATCTGTTAAGGTCCATTGTCTTTTGAATGTATAACATTTTTTTAATTCATGTTTTGCTCATTTTCTTGTTTGTCTTTCGTTTTCCTTTTTTTTTTTGTTTTTGTTTTGGTTTCTTTTGGTTTTTTCCCCTAAAATTTTATCAAGAGTTTTTTACTGCAAATAGTTTTATGTTATGTATTTATAATACAAATCAAATGCATGTTAGTTTCCCTTCAATTCTGTCATGGATATCCTCATCAAGAAATAAAAGAAAAACTCTTTTGAATTACTATATGATTGAATAAGAAGCAGTCGTTATCTGTAGTTGGCAATTTTTTCACTCCTTCCATTGACTTTTCAGGTAAATAAAAATGGTTAAGCACAACAATGTTATTCCTAATGGGCATTTTAAGAAACATTGGCAAAACTATGTGAAAACGTGGTTCAACCAGCCTGCTAGGAAAACCAGGAGAAGAATTGGTGAGTTGTTTTCTGCTTTTTAGGAGTTCACATTCTGCTATGGATGGTTTGCGTGGCATTTGCAAAATTTTCTTTTATGGCTGTTACTCTGGCTTATTTTTAATTTTTAATTGCTTTACAGCAAGACAAAGGAAGGCTGTGAAAATTTTCCCTCGCCCAACTGCTGGTCCGTTACGTCCGATTGTCCATGGCCAGACTTTGAAGTACAACATGAAAGTGAGAGCTGGAAGGGGTTTTTCTCTTGAGGAGCTCAAGGTGAGTTGTTCTTTTAGTTTTTTTACTTAGCCTTCCATATTTTTTGAATTCAAGTTCTTTGTTTGTGAGTTTATCGTGTGTTCTCATGACAATGTTTCTTGGTTTTGATGAGCTATGAGGTCCTGAGTCTGGATCGGCTCAATGATGCTACCTGATCTTACACTTACTGCTTTCTGTTTGCTATGGATATTGTATAACATGCATTTTTTCCTTCTAAAAATGTATAATTATACATATTTTTCCTTCAAAAAATGTATAATTATTCATAACATTGTAAGTTTAAGAGTGCTTAATTTTTTGGAAGGTTACATTTACTCTTCACAAGGTGAGAAACACGAACATCCTCTTAGAGTATCGTTACCTCTTGATATTGGTGTACCATTTATGGCATTTAAATACTATCAGTCTTGTATGCATCCATTCAGTTTTGTACTTTTTAAGTTTTTTGTTTAATTTCCTTATTTCAAAGAAAGTTTTTGTTTACTTTCCAGGCCGCAGGTATTCCAAAGAAGTTGGCACCTACTATTGGTATATCAGTTGATCATCGTCGTAAGAACCGTTCTCTGGAGGGTCTTCAAACCAATGTTCAGAGGCTGAAAACGTACAAGGCGAAATTGGTTGTCTTCCCAAGACGGGCACGGAAATTCAAGGTAATTCAGATTATTGAAGTAAGTTTGGTTAGCTTGGTTGTTTATGTGAAAGGTGAATATTTTACTCTCCTCTCTCTGCCGTAGGCTGGTGATTCTGCACCCGAGGAACTAGCAACAGTTACTCAAGTTCAGGGGCAATACATGCCTATTGTGCTTGAGAAGGCTGGAGTGGAGCTTGTTAAGGTTACAGAGGAAATGAAGTCATTCAAGGCATATGACAAGCTCCGTATTGAGCGCGTGAATCAACGCCATGTTGGTGTTAGAATGAAGAGGGCTGCCGAGGCTGAGAAGGAAGAGAAAAAGTAATTAGTTTGATCAAATTTTTGGCTAGCTTTGAGTTTTTATGTTAAAACTTTCAAGTTGTTGGTTAATCTTTACAAATTTTCTACTTGAAGATATATTAATTACATAATGTGTCTTATTTTCATAAAGATGTCTGTTATTTATAATCATGTGGCTTAAACCTGTGACATATATGTGAAACATTTTGTACACTGAAATGTACAAGGCTAAATTGATGTGTGAAAATAAGCCTAGCAGCTAACAGGGCAAGTAGAACAGAACCATTAGCAAAACAGCAATTGCATGACTAAAGAAAATTGGGTTGAGATAATTAAGCCGAAGACTAAGCAATTATATCTCCAGCAAGTCTTACTTCTGAGTGATGTATATTACCTTTCTTTTAAGAAGAATGTTTATGGCTCTGAATTCAACAGAGTTAATTTGAATTTATTATTATTGTTATTTTTAAGAAAAAAAAATATTTTTTAATATATTATAGTATTTATTATTAAAAAAAGACAGAAAAAATTAAAATTTTATTTTAAATTGGGGATTCGAGTAACTGAGATTTTTCTTGTTATTATTCATATCAAAATAACCTTTAGTGACATCTACGATATTACTACTTTAAAGAACCTAAGTTCACAATATCATAGACCATTAAAGTTTCAGAAAAGGTTAATATTCCCTTAGCCTAAACATCTTACAAGACTTTCTTGATAAAAGTATAGATTAAAGCAAACCAGAGAAGGATTTTGTCCCTTTTCCTTTCTTTCTTAGCATCAAACACCAACTTTGCAAAATCTTTTTCTTATAATCCTCCTTGATCTTCCATGGTCACAATCAACTTCACAAACAAATAAGAAAAGAAGTTGAGAGAGTCTTCTGATCTTTTCTTTCAGAGAAAGACGATGCATGATGTATATTTTGCACGAAAGGCTGTGAACATGGAGAAGAAAGGAGAGAGTCCTACAAGAAAGAGCCTAAAAATCAAAGGCAAGGAGAAAAACTTTGCAAGATCCCTCTTTCTTGATTCTTTAAACAACATTTAGAAATATCCAATTCACAGATTGAAAAGAGTTAAACTATATTACAAACAGATCTTCATTCAATAATTGTGTGAGATAGCAAGAAATGAAAAAAAAAAAAAAAAAAAAAAAAAAAGAATTAAAGAATTAAAGGAAGTGGGGGAAAACTTTTATTTCCAAAATTCAAAAATACACCCTAGAAAAAATCACAGTGAATTCTTCTTCACTGGCTGAAATTCCTAAAGAAATATATGAAACTTCCTCAAAGGCCATTCAAATAAACCGAAAGCTTCACATGAGCCGTGCGGTCTTTCTTCGTCTTCTTGAACCCTTTAGAAACAACTTTCAACATTTTCTTCCATTCAACAGGCGCACACGATGCAGCCTTCGACGGAGCCGGAGACAATCCGGAACCTTTCCTCGTCTTCATCGGCGTCATCTTCTTTTTCTTCTTCATCAACTTAAGACCTTTCAGATTCACCCCAAGATCACCGATCTTGTTCTTCAAACTAAAAATACCCTTCTTACAGAGGCCTTCGCAAGAAAACTTTCTGGCAGTATGACAGTCAGAGTCCAAGGCGTACGCGGCGTAAGGAATAGGGACCAGCGGGGACCATATTGAACTCTGCGGAAAACGGAAAAGAAAACCGGAGTTATCTGGAGATTTGCAGAGAAGCTCTTTCGACTCGACGGTTTCGGCGCTTGATTGGCCGATGAGTGTCTGAATTTCTTCTTCTCCGTCCTGTTCTTTCCGATGCATCATCGATGCTTTCGAATTGATCGTTCTGCTTTTTTTCCTTTGATCAGGATACAATGCTTGATTAGAATGCTTTGGAAGCCTGTAACGGTAGTCTCATCTCAGTCGTACGATCGGAACACGAAGAGGCGAAGAGGAAGGGGCGTAGGAAGAAAGAGGTAATGGACAGGGGTTTAAATAGGCTTCTGGTTTCCGTTTCTGCAACTTTTTTAAATTTTACGGAAATGGAAATTACTTTTTCCGACTGATTAATTTGGGTTTATGAAGTGATTAATTATAATAAAATTGTTAATTATTTTTTAATAATAAAAAAATAAATTATGGAATTAGTTTTCAAAGTTTGAAATTTGTTATAATTTAGTCACTCAATATTTTTATATTTGATTCAATCGTTTAATTTCCTTCAATTTTCTAATAGAAAAAGATAAAATAGTCAATGTTGAATATAATTTACACTTACACTAGTGGGCCTGCATATATTCAATAATATGTTATTACAAAAGTAAAGTTTAATTATTAATTTTATAATGAACTAGATTAGAACTTGGGAAGCTTATGATCCTTGAGTTATAAATAAAGATGTTATGGTCAAAAATCTCATCTTTCACAAAAATCAACTTAAAAGCTCTTCTGATAAGCTGATTAAAAAAGGTATTCTAATTAGTTTTTTTTTTTTTTTAATAAAGGTTTTCATCCATAAAGTTTAGTTTTCTAAAAGCAGTATTAAATCTTAATGTTGAATAGTTTAATGTTAAATTTCTTTTATTAAAATAATCATTAAGTAATCTTTCATAATTAAGAATTCAAATCAATGTTATTTTTCTTCGGTGTTTTAATGTGATTACTTTTTATTTATTTATTTATTGATTACTTGGATATAAGTTTATAATTTAAAGTCACATAAAGTTGAAATTTTCATTTACCACTTTAGGTCGTTAAAAGTTTAAAAATTTAATGTTTGGAATTTTAATCAACCTCAAAATTTAAATTTTGGTATGGTCATTAAATATAGATTTTCTTTAATAAATTGATTGAAACAACATGTGGTTCGTCAAAAGTAAAGTAATCTCTTTTGTAAATAATAATTGTTTAAGAACACCAAGATTGTTGCGCATATACTGAGAGGGGGTGGGTGGTGTAAAGGAATGTCCATATCTTTTACCAAATTAAATACACGCCGTATAAATAATAAATTGGTAAAAGACATGGCTTATTGTTTGACTGGATTTTTTTTTTGTCAATATTTGATTGCAAATTGGTGTTTCCATCCAAACATTAAATGTCAACATTTTGGAATTTAATAATCACTACATACGTTTGTATTTGTATTATTTATTAACTCTGAGCTTCTTCGCTATTCAGTCATTTTTCTACTTCTGTTGACATATTCTAATATCAATTTCATCCTCATGCTAAACGATACAAATTTTAAGATTTATGAAGAAACCATTGCCGCTTCGGAATAACCTCCTCTTTCTACGGTCCAAAGTTCCATTTTTCAAATCAAACATATAGATAATATATATATATATATATATTTTTTTTATCTAACTTATAAAAATCATAAATGAATCCCTAACACTGATCTTTTAAAACATTCTGAAAAGATAACCAAATAAACCCTCACATTAGCTGGGTAAACTATCAAATATTAAATTGAAATTGATCAGATATGGATGATTGTAGCTCAGACCCTCAATTTACTATTATAGAATTCTGCTGGACTATCATCAGACTCGAACTTCTTGCAAAAGCCTGTCATAATCATATATAAACAATCCTAAATGGTGTTTCAGAAATATGGTCTGTGTTCCATCCAACACATTATCATATCTCTGTTTTTGAGAGTCAAATTAGATCTCTGAAAATAGATTAGAAATAGTTGATTCCCAGTGCATATAACGTGTGTGCCATTGTGAGACTTATTAGAATCTCCCTATTCACCTCTCTTTTTTTGGGAGTTTGTATGGAATTAAAGTCTGTTGTAAACTTCTAAAAGTAATTCCTTTATGCATGATGAAAAAAACATAATTAAAATTCAATTAAAATTAGATATATAGATAGAAGTTTCTTTAGCATCCAAATTGAATTGCTTTGGATCACAAAAATATTCAGAGACTTGGTTTATTTTAATAAGTAGCATCACTTGATGTCCAAATTCACACTGATAAAAACAGAAGATTTTCAGTAATAAACTAATAAAACTAATATCTCAACTTAATAATGGTATGGAGTGCAAAATTTTCATAATCACCAGCATTGCCAGAAAAACCTCTTGCCATTTACTGATTGGCTGCCACCAATGCCATATGCTCTATCAGGTCAAGCACGCGGTTGCTACAAAGAGAGTACCAAAAAAAAAAAAAAAAAGGAACCCAACACCTTGTTAAAACCAATTACAATGTAATGTGGCAAAAAGTAACAATAATAATATCGATGTATGATTTGATATTATGCAATTCTGGATTTTTCAAGATCCAATGCATGTAGTTTAGTTTTTACAATTTCAGTTAACACCATAGCTAGAACACAAACATTCTAGATTTTAAAAAAAATTTAATACATGGAGAGCTCATATACATCGTTATAATTATCAGTCAAGTAATATAACAATGCAACTAAGAATACTGAAACTACTAAAAATAAACTTAAGTAAATGAAATCTGAAGGAACCCAAACCATAAAGTATCAACAAGTACTTTGCCTTAACAATAATGAAAACAAATTGTCTTATGATATGGATAATAAGGGTATAATAGTTGGTTTTTCCTGTTGGCGGCAAGAGAAGGGGGAGGAACTATACCTGTAACCCCATTCATTGTCATACCACGAAACAAGCTTCATAAAGGAATCACTCAGTCCTATACCAGCCAAAGCATCAAATATACTTGACCTGAAATGACAAAGCCCATCAGTACTATAACAACCATTTGGGAGTTCAAAATGTCCATAAAAACTCTGGAATTGGCAATCCAATCCGAATCAAATCTCAGAAGCTATTTTTCACATTATGGGATATGCTCTCTGTGATAGGTTCTTGGTCTTTTTATCTAAGCATACTTTAAACAAAATGACCACTCTTTTCCACAACCAACATTTTTCAATGAATGAAACCATGAAAAACATGTACACATATTTGCTTGCTTTGTTAATTGTTTATGTATTTACAAGCAGGCACAGGCCTGTGGAAGTAATTATATCAATGCTAAGAAATGGAAAAACATCTGTTGAAGAGAGATGGCGGAAACACAGATTAGATAGATAGATAGATAGATAGAGAGAGAGAGAGAGAAGAGAGAGAAAGCATTATACCTTGAATCACCCATAAAATCGTTAGAGACAACATGCTCATCTGTGTATCCAAGAATGCCCTTGAGTGGCCCCTCTGAAGCATACCTATTTTTTGAAATTGAAGAATGTTTTTAGAATCACAAAGAACTATGTTAAGATAAAAATCCTTGCGAAAAATACTGAGGAAGCAGACAAAAATCTACCCCAACCCCACCAGAATAAATTAGTAAATAAATGATCTATCAATGCAAATTGTGTATTAAAGCAGAAAATTAGACAACATACTTTATGGCTGCTTTAACATCTTCATAGGATGCACTTTTATCAAGTCGACAAGTTAAGTCCACAACAGATACATTAGGTGTCGGGACACGGAATGCCATTCCAGTCAGTTTTCCATTGAGTTCTGGAAGAACCTTTCCAACAGCCTACATTAAAAAAAAGAGACCTGAGATCTCATTCCTCCGGTAATTCTTTAAATTTCTCCTAAGTCTGAACAAGTCTATTCTTGAATACCTTAGCAGCACCAGTTGAACTAGGAATGATGTTTTGACCAGCTCCACGGCCCCCTCTCCAATCCTTCATTGATGGGCCATCCACAGTCTTTTGTGTTGCTGAAGATTAGAAGAGGATAACTTTTACCACAAAGCCCATTGATAAACCCATGACTTAAAGGAAAGCCACAGAGACAGATACCTGTAGTTGCATGTACAGTTGTCATTAGCCCTTCCACGATGCCAAATTCTTCGTGCACCACCTACCAGCAGAAGAAATATTAAAAAATTAATCCACATAAGATCACAGTACAACAAGTATCCCATAACTTCAGCTTTTACCAGACACAATTTACATATCAAATAATAAGCCCTTTTTTATGATACTACCAAATATATGTATACATATATATTTTTTTTTGAAAGAAATATGTATACATATATATAACTTGGAATCAATGGCTGTGTTTCAACCTTGGCAAGAGGAGCGAGACAATTTGTGGTACAGCTTGCATTAGAAACAATGTCCATGTTTGGCTTGTATGTCTTCTCATTCACTCCAACCACAAACATGGGTGCATCAGCTGAAGGAGCTGATATTACCACTTTCTTGGCACCACCCTACAAAACTTAAAAGAAAGGTCAATCAGAGGCATTGTGAGCACGTAGATAAACGCAATTTCATGGGCATGTGCATGTCAAGATGTTCGAGGGGCAAGATTGGGAAACAGAAAACCAGAACTTGAGTACAAACTGACCTTCAAATGTGCTGAAGCCTTTCCCAATGTTGTGAAAACCCCAGAAGATTCGACAACATACTCAGCCCCAAGATCACCCCAAGCGATTTCTACTGGGTCCCTTGGTAAATGACAATCAAGTTTAGACACTTTATTAAAACATATCTCTAACTCCCAAGATATTTGTTCGAGTAGAAGCAATTGTAGCAAGTATGTCATAGATTACCTATGGAAGTATACAGGCAAATAGAAACTATCAATTTGCAATACCTCTTGCAAACTACTTTAATATGTTTCCCATTGATCTCTAAGGTAGAATCATCCACAACCCTGATGGTTCCCTTAAAAACTCCATGGGTAGAATCGTACTTGAACATATAAGCCTGCACAAGAATGGAAACATTGAATTACAACCATTCCTTCATACCCTGGGGCCTAAAACAACTATAACATCATCAAATAAATTTTTTCTTTTTGGAAATGAACATCGTCAAATGAGATGAACAAATAACGTACAATCAATCAGACTCTTAAGCTAATCCTATTGTGTACCCACTCTCCTATTCCATGCACAAACTCCAAGAGACAAGAATGTTCATTTAAAAAAAAAAGATTAGGAAAAGCCATGCAAAATTTCCAAAAAGTACAAATCTGAATATTTAGAAAAAGGGTGGATGTGAGAACCTTCACATCAAGTTTGATGGTAAACAAAATAACGTGTTCAAATCATCATTTTTTTAGCCCAGATTGGCATCCATAATGACTGCTTGAACTCGTACTACAAAACCCACATAGGGGATTTCATGCCACAGAAAAAAGAGATGCCGCCAGCATGTCAATCCTCTTTGACAATACACATTGATGATGTTTAGTTAAATTTTCTAAATAAATTTGGACTTGCATTTCTATCAAATTTGTATTTGTAATGGCATGGGTAAGATTGGGCATTTATCGGGTTAGACAATTTTTAAGGGTTAAGTTCTCTTAATATTCTTTCTACGCTGTGTTTGATTCACTTCTATTTTGCTCCTAATAAACCTCTAGTTCCAATTTCACATTAGTCGTAACATGCATAAATTAGAACATAATTCATTATGTATAAGTTAACACAACCATAGACTGAATTCCTTGATGTTAGAAATTCATTGGCATTGAGAAGTATGGATTGAGTGTATACTATTAAAAAATTGAAGGGATGGTGGAGTACCTAAGAAAGCAAATTCCGTACAAGCATGGAGAATAGTACAAACATGGAGAGCAAGAACAAATTCATTGTCTACCCTTAATCAAGACTAACATAAGAACGTTTTTTTATAGAAAAACAAATATCATTAAGATGAGAACAAAATAAAAAGAAACATGGAGAATAAGACATCCTCCTCGAACTTTCTGTTAGCAAGTTTGACATGTTACACTACAATCATGTTCTTATTCTAATTACAACTAGAAGTTGACTAGAACCTAAATGGAAAATGAACAAAACAAAACCTTCGCATTTCCTATTCTAATAAGATTACAATTAAATTGTAGTCGTAAATAACTATAATTTCTCCAAAAAGAGTACAACTATTAAGAGAATTTAGAGAAGTTAATGCTTAATGATTGTATGATGCCACTAAATTCCACCCTAGTTATTGTAGTGCATAGAGATCGAAATATGAGGCTTACTTTCTTTTCTACCCAAAAAACTATTAAACTTAGACCTTAAATCCTTGGATGTGATGTCAAGAAACCCATCAAACCTCTAATTTCAAGTTTTAACTCGTCCTCCATCAATTACTACCAGAGCCAAAATTATTTACTGTTAGTATCAAGTTCCCACAACTAAACCTATCAACCATATACAATTTTTCCCATTTTCCATTTACAGCATAAGAACTACAGCGGAAGATATCCGGACGGTTACAATACATAGTCATGTACACGTTCTACTTACACTTCATATCTCAGTTGCAGTTTTGCCTGTTAATAGAAAACGGGAAAAACGAGCTTTGGCAACACCAGTTAGAAAGTAGACAATAAATCTTGTGTTACCATGATAACTGACTGTTGACATGCAATAACTTCTTAGATAATACAACATGGCTTCATATCCAGCATACAAATGAGAAGGTAAGAATTTGACATCCTCACCATGTACTTAGCATCAATGAAAGGATCATTGACTGCCACAACATCGATATCATCTCTGGATGTTGCAACTCGTAAAACTAATCTTCCTATTCGGCCAAAACCTGCACAAGTACAGTATTATAGGTGTTCTTGTAAAGAAAATAAAACATAAGATATGCATTTTAGGGTTGAGAAAAGAAAAAAGAGATCAACTTGGTTTTTCATAATTAAGGAAACATAGCACCCACGGCCTTTTCTAAATTCCTGAGCTTCATCCTACATGCCATAAAGATCCAGACTGGCAATGGCAAAAGCATGTTATATGTGCCAAAAGGAGAATGAATCCCAGGTCACCTAATTCTATGATATCCTAAATGAAGAAGGCTTTGGAGTCCGTATAAAATTGATGAATCTTAACTAGGTGGTTAGTAGTTCAGTAAGTAGGAACGTTTTTGCTGTACTTCCTCTGGAAACCTGCTGAGTTAGTTGATTTCATATATCCTTTGACTTTCAATCTTATGTAACTTGTATATAGAGCCAAGATACCCTTGGTGGCTTTTATGAATTAATTATCTTTTAGTTCTCAAAAACGAAAAAGTAAAGTCCACATTGAAGAATTAGCCTCTTGCCCCGCAAAAGCAGGAAATTGAACAGCTGACCACATTCTAATAAAATCGTCTATCAAACAGTGTAATAATAGAGTTTCAAATTTTCATATCAAAAAAGTATAGAACTGTCATCCACCAATGGAATTGTTCATCATCTGCATACTTGAACACAATCCAACCAACCTCTGGAATCAGTTGAAGTGGGCAAAAGACACGCACTATAATGCATTAAACATGGCAGCCTTCTCAACAGTGCTCCAGGTTCATTTCAACGCTGAAGACTCTCTTTCTTGATGCTGTAAACAACATTTAGTTGGAGGCACTTCCACTAAGATGTAACCTTCTGGGATTTTCAAGCACAGATTTTATTCAGAGCAAACATTTCCCTTGTTTTCGTTTGTTGTAACTCATCCCCAAGTAGTTACTAAAATGGTTAAAATAAAGCCCCAACCCTAGATAGCAAACACCAAAAGGGGCAATAAATAGACAGGAATCATCCATCAACAGCCGACTTAAATCATAACATCAATAAGTCAGTCATGAAGAGGGAAATTCAGCCAAAGGATTTTAGAAACATTTGATTAACACTTCAAAAAGAGTTAGGTATATTACAAACATATCTTCATTCAATGATGTGTAAACCAGTGCGCAACGGCATTTGATGGTAATCATACCATTAATTCCAATCTTTGTCTTTCCACTGCTCCGCGATTCTAAACAATGAGAAACAAATAATACCCACAAATCAGCACAAAACACTAAATCGACAATAACAAAAGTTTAGTACACGTCAAGATCAGGAACCGATTCTTACTCTGCACTATGGGAGGCATCTCAGTAGCAGTAGCCTTGATGGGTTTGATATTCCTAGAGCTGCATTCCCTGAAATATTCCCCAACATATTTCAGAATTAATTAGGATCTTACCAAAAAAAGCGTGCAAAAGTTAGAAAAGTAAATAAATAATCAAACATTCATATAAAAGAATTGCATAACGGTCACTCAACTTTAAAGAAGACGACCCGGTTCTAAGTGCTGCACCCACAATGCTGGACGAGTTCAGATTGCCACTAAAACCAAGGTGTGGAACCTGGTATTTAAAGAATGAGGGAGATTAAATACTAATAAACTCCCAAACAGAAAATATTTAAAATAAGCTCTCATCTCCTTTATGAAATCCAAATCCTACTAAAATCATTGTTCTTTACATAAAACTACCTTGTGCTCGAGTGCAATTGAATGATATGTTATAGAGGTTGCTTGAGCTGCATTTATTTTTCTTTTTAAATTACACTTCAAGTTTAACGCTATAGAACAAAGCCAAGAGAAGTTAAGAAGCCCTAAAAATGAGAAAATAATTCCAGCATCGATAATATTCAAGCGAATTAGATTTTGCCCTTGGAAACATGAAAAAATAAATAAATAAAAAAGCAAGCACCCAATTCAAACAAAACACAATATGAAATGTAAAAGCAAAAAGAAAAACGTAAAACGTGAGAATCTAATTACTTTCTGAGCTCATTTACTCAGTATACAAACATAAGGTAACAGAATCAAATCCAACAAACATAAGGTAACAGAATCAAATCCAACAAACATGAAAATTACACAAAAAATCTAACAAACTTGTAAATTAAAAAAAAATCCTGATATTATTATTAATAGAAATTTAATCGCAAGACTCTCTTTAGTTTCCTCTAGAAGGCTGAAAGATGGAAAAACCTAATAAGTAATATAAGAAAATAAAAATTTGAAAACAAAACAATAAACGAAACTGAAATGTATTTACATCGTAAGCATTTCATGCACTAAGCTCGTTGAAGCAGAAATTTCCAATTCTCATTGAAAAGAAAATAAACAGAAGTGAAACCAAAAGGCCAAAATTATTATTAAAAATAAGAGGCAGATAATTCGGGAGCTTTAAATCAGGGAAAGCAAATCAAAGTCCTAACAGGCAAAGGAAACCATTTTACCATCTAAAGCTCCCTGGAGCTCAGTTTTCCAATTTTCTGAAAAAAAAAAAGAAAGAAAAGTAGAAAAAAAAAAACCAACCGAAAAATAGAAACCGAATGTTAAGAGTAAGAAATTAAAACGAAAACAGAGAAACAAACAACAGGCGGCAAAAATAGAAAAGAGAGAAGACGAAAGACGCAATTACAGATCAAGAGCTGAAAGTGAAAACAATAAAGAAGACGATGATGATGAGAGGAACCTTGGAAGGATCGGCAGAGGAGGAGGAGAAGGAGGAGCATTCGACTCTGGTGGATTGGATCAGAGAAGCGGAAGTCGTAGATCGGAAGAGAGACGAAAAGGCCATTGTTGTCCGTCAAAAACCCTAGAGAAGGAGCGAGGGTCGTGATGTTATTTCGGTGAGGCCTTTGAGACGCAGGCAAAGGCCAAGAAAATGAAAATACCAATGGTGGTTTGATGTGTATTTTTAAAAGCAAAAAGGGAGCGGAGTTTCTTATAAAACAGACAGCTTCTCTTCCTCTCTTTTCTGTGGGTAGTTTCCGGTGGATGTGATCTCATATTTATTTCTTGCGATTCTCCTCTA